GCGCGGACTGCTGCTCGATGCCGGCTGCGCGTTTCCGCTGAGGGGCTCGCTGGCCTGTTCGCARTTAGTCACATCCGTGCGTGTTTGTGCAGTACTGAGCGCCTCGTCTGGGATGCCCCGTGAGGCCGGGGAAGCTCCTGGGTGCTGCAGCAGGCAGGCTGCTCCTGCACGGGCTCCCGCGGCCTCCTCTGTGCTTTTTGCTCTCGTGGGAATGCGGAGCCAGGTGGTGAGCCAGGAGCTTAGGAAATAACTCTCTAGGATTTCAGTTTTCACATAAGGAATGCAAAGAGAAGATTTCAGAGTCATTACGTTTTCTGATAACCCTCATATAAAAGTTCTAGAATGCTCTAGATGGACATGTTTGCTAAATACAAATTAAATGTAAGGTCAGGGTGCATTGTCACGTAGGAAATGCTCAATTTTGGAATTGGGATCCGCTGAGAAGCAGGGCGTTTGTGCTGGAGTGCAGCGAGCTCGGTAGCCGATCTCGTGGGAGACGCCGGGGSAGTTTCCGCGCTGCCGTGCGGCGGCTGCCGGTGCCGGTGCCGGAGCAGCCCTGGCGCGGGGCCGTGTCCCCGTGTCCCCTGCTCGGCAGGGCGAGGTGCCGGGTGTGTGGGGCCGCGTGCCGCCGCAGGGGCTGCGGGGCGGCCGCGTTCCTGCCCCGTTCCAGGTGCCCCTCTCCCGTTCARCAGCACGATGCAGCACTGCAGGCCTGCCGCGCTCCTTGCTGCTCACTAAGAGTGCCCCGACTACTGAAACCTGGGTGTGAGCCGCTGCTGAAAGCAGAACTGTGCGCCGCCTGTTCCTCATTATCTGGGCGCAGGTCCCYTTTTTGCTTGCCCTCAAGTGAAATGCAAAGTGGAGCGACGCACGTAATCATAGCCGCCGCGTGGCCTCGCGGGAGCAGGCGTGTGCCCGCGGCCGCCCGGAGCGGTGGGTGAGCGCCGCGCGCCGGGGCACCCGCTGCCCCCGCGAGCCCGGCAGCAGCCGCCCCTGGAGCTACCCGGGAAGGGCAACGGGGAGCTCTCAACGAGCCCCGTCCCTCCCCGCTGTAAAGGTCACGTCTAATCTCTAGATCACCTGGGGTGCAGCGGGATGTGGTGCTTGCACCGGGCTCCTAACTCGGTTATTCGCGGGACAAAGTCACCGTTGCCCAAACCAGGGGGATTGGGACACGGGCGTGGGGTGACAGGCGCAACAGGGGCCGTCACCAAGCGAGGGACGTGTGAATGGAGCGCGGGCAGAAGCTGCCTGCGGCCGCTGCAGGACACGCTTCGCAAGGCGCCGTCCCGCAGGAGCCTGCCGTGGCACCCGCCGCGCGTGTCCGGGATCGCGCTGCATCCAGGGAATCACACCCCAGGGCGCCTCTYCTCGCCGAGCCAACCGCATCGGCTCAATTAGATGTCAGAGGCAGGCGGCTGGGGCCCTTGCTGAGTCATGGGCATTGGTTTTCTCCTGTAGCTGCTGTTGTCATGGATAATGCTAATAACCACTATAGATCTATATATATTTATATATACTGGAATATATGTGTTTACTGGAATGTGTTTACTGGAATACTATATACTGGAATATATGGGTTTAGTGGAATACACACACATGTTCTCTCTATATCTATATGTATGTGTGTATGTGCACACACACACGCATGGGCAGTTAAAAGCCCTTGGCAAGGTGCGGGTGTTTTCCAGTGCAGCGTGGGTCCTGCTGGGCGCCGCTCGTTAGATGTGCTRTGTAATTACCAGGGGGTCGGAGCTGGTGGCGCGCGAGCCAGCGGGAGCGCTGGGGGCCACGCGGAGCACTCGGGTCCGGTCACGAGGCCTGGCGTGCTCCCCGCACACCGGCGTGGCAGGAGGGGAGCTCATCTGGGGCCGTGCAGAGCTGCAGGTGCAATGCCGTGCAGCCGCGAGGCCGTGCAGACCTGCAGCCGTGCAGTAGCGGTGCCATGCAGCCGCGCTGCACGGGGCTGCAGAAACACTCTCTGTGCGGTGCAGCCCTCTGGGGCCTGGACATTAATCAAACAACACGTCTTCAGCATTCATGACTTGGATTAATGAGGAGGGCTTTGCTTTCTGAAAGGCTGCATAGGTTTTTTTTTTTTTAATCAAAACTTGGTATAAAAACTCCAATTTTTAAATATCAATATTCATTTTTAGAACAAGAACGTAAGGTTGATTGTAATAGGAGAGTTCTGTTTATTTCAGTTATGTTTGTTCTCTGAAAAAGAAGTAGCTCTCAGGGTTTTAAGGCAGATCATCAGATTCCTGTAGTTATTCAGTACAAACAGCTTCTTTTTAGACTTCGGGGGCAATGTCATTTATAGCTTAAATCTACTCTGCCAAATAATAGCCACCTTCCTATTTTTAAAGTTTATCATATCAATATTATGATAGCAGGAATTGCTATACGAGTATGTCTTTAGTAGTAGAAGAGGTGTTTGTGACTTGAATGTTGTAGGTGGCTCCGGGGATGCTYAGTAATACACGGATCAATAGCGAAAGGGATTAAGGGCAGAGTAGTCATTCCTGCCATTTTGTGCCTGTGGCACAAGYGAAAAGAGCAGCTAATCCGTCCGTTTCCCCAATCCAGGGATCCTGACCTTTTCCTCTTTTAGTTTATAAATACATGCTTGTGTAATGTGAACTCTGTGTGTATTTCTGGAGTCCCAAATACTGCAAAGTAGATTATAAAAGCAAATTTTTTTTAACAGATCTGTTTTCCCTTTGTAAGTTTTTAATTACATTAAAGCCTCTTAATTACGTTAATAGGGGCTAATTCGTAGCTATTCACGGTTTAAGGAGAAAGGTGCTTATGGAATTTGCAGAGGGACTTTGCGCCTTGGAAGCGGTGCGGGTGCCAGCGCGGGAGGCGTCGGGCGCGGGGCCACTGTGGCCGCCGGGCGCTGCAGGAAGGGCTGGTGGCGAGATGGGAACGCGGAGCCCGTCCGGAGTGTCCGGCCGCCCCCGGAGCGGCGTGCGCCCGAGGGGCGCTCGGCAGCGCTGCCGTCGGCCCCGCTGCTGCAGCGAGGTGTTTGTGTGTGGCGTGCTTTCCCGAGCTGTGCAGTGCCCTCGGGCCTCCCCGCCGCACTGCCAGAGCTGCAGCAGGGCTCGGATAACTTCTAAATGCTGCTGCTAGTGCTGCCGCTCGCGCTGCTGCTGCTGGTACCGAAAAACAGTGTGCGTTGTACAAAGTGTTTGGGGCGCAGAACCAGYGCTGGAAGCGTTTGGCTCTTACAAGCAGGTGTGTCCTGGGCACTGCTGCGCAGTTTCAGGCGCGAGTGTGTGGCAGTGGTGTTGCTGGCACCCCCGTGCTGCCTGGGGGGCTGCAGGGTGCCCGGGGGGCTGTGGTGGTGTTGGTGGTGCCCCCGCACTGTCCGGGGGGTGCAGGGTACCCGGGGGGCTGTGGTGGTGTTGGTGGTGCCCCCGCACTGTCCGGGGGTGCAGGGTGCCCGGGGCGGGCGCTGTGTGCGGCGGAGGCGCCTGGTACTGGGCACCCCCGTGCGCTGTCGGCAGCGGCACCGCGCATGGGCACCCATGCGATACACGTTGCTCTTAGCAGCCGCGTTCACCGAGCAGGATAGCCCTTCTCCTGCACGTCCCGCTCCATGGCGGGGTGTTAGTCTGTTGSTCCCACTTAATTTAGTGCCAGCACTATAATTACCGACCTTGTCCGCACCGTGCGGCTTGCCTGTCCTTGCACAGCCCTTGGCAGGAGGCCGGGCAGCGGGCCGGGGAGCGCGGGCACGTGGGGCAGCCCGGGGCCGCGGCTCAGCCCTCGTGCTGCTGCCCTGGGCAGAGCCTCCCAAAGCGTGGCCCTAAGCCTGCTGCACGCGGGCTCTGCACCAGTGGTAGGAAGTCATGAAAGGGAGCACGCGAAGGAGGCCGTGCAGCCCGGGGCCACGTGGTGCTTTCCCTGCTAGTTTCGCTTTCTCGGCATCTTCACACAACTTTCCATTGATCTGAGAAGCTGTTTCTTAACCGTTCTCGTTGACCTAGTTCCGCGGGCAGCAAACTYGCACCCGTTTCCCTCCTATGGGAGGATTTTTCAATGGTTTCTCTCTCCACATCTGCTTATGTTTTTATCTCAGAGTTACCTTTTTATTTGCTTTTATTTTTTCATGTTGCGTGCACTTACGTCACTTTATTTACTTGTGTTTATATTTTTGAATCCTTTGGCTTCTTTTCTTTCCAAATAATTGTTGAATAAAAGGTCACTGTTTGGCAAAACTAAGGCCACCACAGGCCCAAGACAAGCAGCAGCTCCTTTCCAATTTCAGGGTGAGCTTCAAGAGGAGCTGCATTAGGTGCACCCCTTAGCGCTGAGCAGCTTAGGAGGCGTGGAGACTGCCACCCCCAAAGTGAATGTCAATTTAGTTTTAAAAACGACTCCTTTCCTGCCCTCCCAGTTATTGCTGTGTTTATTGCAGTGTTTCCTAGCTAGCCAGAGGGATCCCCAAAAGAAGTATCACATATATCTGCTGCTCTTTCTTTATTCCAATCCGTGTTTCTCAACCCGTGAGCATCCAGCCCAGCGTGGCACTGCTCGGTCACCCGTATTTCAGCAGGAATGTTACTGCTCGCCCGGTTCCTGGGCGCACACAGTCACTTCTCCGAGCAGTTTTGGTGAGGGCCGTTGCTTTCGGTGCYGCCCCGTTGCGGACGACCGTAGCGCGAGGCAGCTTCCGTGCTTGTTTTGCAAATACCTTTTGCCTCCCGGGGGCCGTAGCCCTCAGCAGGGGTGGTTTGCAGCTCCCTTGCCCTCCAGGCACTTGGGAATGTTCAACCTCTTATCGGGGGCCGCGGCACGGGGGGGCCGCCGCCATGGCTCCCCCTCTCGCTGCATGCCGGGTAAATGCCGAGCCCGCACGCTCGTCCCCGTGCCGGCACCGCGGCGCGGCCGGGCGCTGCGCTCCGTTGCGCCTCACCGCCGGGTTGCAAGGGCGCGCGCCACCGGGGCCGCGCGGCCGCCCCTAACGATGTGTGTGTTTTCTCTGCAGGTTGGTACCGGGAAGTGCCTTTCCTGACGTCGCTGCTGGCTTGGGACCGCTGCTAGAGCAGCCGCTGCTTTTGCCTTGCTTGCTGCGAGCTAGACTGCGACGACAGCGCGGCCGCCCTCCACCTCCCGCCCCGGCGCCCAGGGGAGCAGCTCTGCCGGGTGCTGCTGCAGGCCGCTTTGTAGACCAGTAAAAGTTTGCTGGGAAAGTAAGATATCTTCTGCCAGAAAACCCAGGAGAGGAAAAAAAAAAAAAAAAAAAAATCTCTCGATTGTTGCTCTAAACTGCTGCATCTGTCTATGCCAAACTAATCAATACCGATTGCACCACAAACCCGAGCGCAGGTTCGGCTGCGTGGAGATTACCTTTCCGACAACCTTTCTGCAAGCAGCTGGGAGCTCTGTGCCCGAGGCTCTGCCACGTTTCCCCGCTTGCGTTTGGGCTCCCGGCGGCACCGAGAATGGGCTGCTGAGAGCACACGGCTGCTCCGGGCCACACTCCTTAACGTTCGTCTTGCTCACGGGCCTCGCGCTGCTCCAGGTGCAGAGCCTCTCTCCATTAACAGTTTCATGCTGTGAACTCCTAGTGGCAAATCTTTCCCTTGATATTGTGACCACACGATTTTACGTGTACTTTTAAAATAGGGAGCGGGGGAAAAAAAAAAAAAAAAGGCATTCTGGAGGTGCCATTTTCATCATTTCCAGTCTCTCAGTTCAGCTCTTTGTCTGTTCTTTTTGCTGACGATTTTAACTACCTGTAAAACCTAAACATGGCTGTTAGTGTCACGCCGATCCGGGACACAAAATGGCTCACCCTGGAGGTGTGCAGGGAGTTCCAAAGAGGGACTTGCTCCCGGCCAGACACGGAATGTAAATTTGCACATCCATCGAAAAGCTGCCAAGTGGAGAACGGACGCGTAATCGCCTGCTTTGATTCATTGAAAGTGAGTAAATATATTATTTTCCAGGGTGCACGGTTAATGGAAGAAGGGATTAGAGCTAGAGAAAGCGTGGAGTCCGCAGGAGAGGAGCTGCTCTCTGGGCGGGCAGGGAGGGCTGCTGTCACCATTATTATTATTATTGTTATTATTGTTGTTATTATTATTATTGTTGTTGTTGTTATTGCTGTCTTAATGATTGCTCTTTGTTATGTTATGTTCCTCAGGGGAGGATGGGGGGCTAGCGGGGCCGCGTGTGGGGCTGCACCCCCTGCTGCGGGCGGGCGGCTGCGCGGGGCRCTGCCCRCAGAACCAGCGCAGTCCTGACAGCGGCTCCTCGGGCACCGCGGCGCCAGCGCTGTGCGGGGCTGTCCCTGTCCAGCGGGCCTCCCCGTGGCACACGGTGCGTCTTGCACAGGCGTTTCGCGCCGTGGAGCGTTGTGTCTGCTCGGAGCCGGGTGCTGCCCTCGCTCCTCGCGAGCGCATCCGTGCGCAGAAGGCCCAGCCACAAGCGTGCCGGTGGAGACGTGGTGGCTGCGCCTTGGTTTTTAGGCAGTGCCTATGAGTCGGGCAGGGGAACGTGGGCCTCTTATTTAGTGTCCGCAGTTCCGGACCGCGTGGCAAAACTGCGTGGAGCGGCAGCCCCTTGCCTTGGCTTTCGGGAGCTAAATGGTCCCCCAACCTGCAGCAAACACCCCAGGTCTCACCGCTGCCCGCCGGCCGGGCGGGAGGTGAAGCACTGTTGGCCTTGTGTCCGCTTCCAAACTGCGTGGATTCCTGCTGAGCTARGTATGTGGTAGTCTGTCTCCTTTTATCCAGTATCACATACTAGGCAAAGAAAAATAGGGAAGGGAAATAAAGGTCAGTTATTAGTTTACAAAAACTAAAGAATTTGTGAGCATAGCATTCAARAAATAATAGCTTAGAGGTCAGAAGCTTGGTGTAGATGTGAGATCTTTGCTCTTTGCTGAAATAGCACAACTACCAATAACCCCAACTTGGTCCGTTTACAGTGTGTCTCACGGTAGTATTAAGCTAGCTGCGTTGCCTGCTGGATGTGGTTGCTGTAACGCTCCTGTTCGTGTGCGTGTTTACAGCTGCGGGCAGTACCGGGGAGGCTCTGAGCGCCCCGGAGTCTGCGCTGATCCAGTGTGGACAGCGCGCTGTGCGCGGCGCGTTGTACCACATTGCGGCGTGGGGTGTTGCGGCGCATGCCAGAGGTGCTGGGGCGGTAACCGCGTCCCGGTCGGAGCCAGACAGGGCGCGGGGCAGGACTCTGCTGCCGCGGGGCGAGGCTCCAAGCACGCCACGTGCCCATGCTGCATGTGCGCACCCTGCGTGCCCGTGCCGAGCGCGCTGCGCGTGCACTGCGGGCGGCCCCGGGAGCTGGTGCCGCGGTGGCACCGCGGGACAGGGGCCAGGCCACGTCCCATGGGGATGCTCTGCTCCCCGCTGGGCCAGCCTGCTTCGGAATGGCTGTTCATGCCACCCCCAGCACTGTCCATGGAGCGCTGCGGTAGCCGAGGTGCACAAGCATGGTGTGATCCAGCCCTCAGAGATTCGGAGAATAATTCTAAAATAAAAGCAATTAGAGGGTACTTTCAAATTCTGTATTCGCATGGTTTGACCTGCTTTAGCTCTGCTATTTAAATGACATAAGGTTTTTTTTCCTACATGTGGATGCCTAAAAGCCTATTAAACTGTCTGGAGCAAGAACAAGCTCCCGAATCAGGCSGCTGGTTTGCAGCAGAGATATAGAAATGAGATTTTAAATTTATTTTTGAAACATTTTTCTTCCTGTTTTCCCCAGAAGAACACAGCGAATGTAGGGTTCACTGGTTGGTGTCCCCACCAGTGCCCCTCTATGCGGCACTGTCACCGGGCACGTGGGACCACGAGCCGCCCAGCCCTGTACGGCGCCCGCTCTTCCGCGCTTCCTGCCGGGATCGGGACCGGGTCTGGGTTAACGCGCCCCAGGTTAATCGGGGGAGACCTCGGCGCTCCGTCGCCGCACTGATTTGCTCCCTGCTTCAAGTGTTCAGAGTGGCCTTTGGGCTGTCTTTCTTCGCTGTGTCGTGCTTAGATAAGGTGTAATTAAGGCGCTTTTCTGTTTTGCTACAAAGATGAGGAAATCAGACCCGCTTCATTTCACCTAGTGAGTGGGAATGGCCGATCGYTGGTGCAGCCTGATGGGGGGAAGGCAGGACATGGGATCCTCATCGGGGGCAGCTGTTCCGCGTTGTGCCCCTGCCGCTGTTGTGCCTGTGTGGCGCTTGTGCCCGTGCCGCGGGCTGCAGGGCGAGGGGCAGCCACAACCTGCAGGGGAAAATGAAGAAAACGTAACCAGGTTCCAGCTTCCCGCAGCGTGTCCCGTTACCGTGCAGCTTTTTCAGTGTGTGGGACTGCCAAAGGGCTAAGCTCCAGGAGAGGGAGAAAAGGGAAGTGGCAAATTCGCTGGGAAAATGATGCAATTGTTTCAGTGAGTGGCAAAGAGTCCATTAAAAAAACAAACAAATGCTGCGTGTTCTGTGGGAATGTTAATGGCATTCYGAAATCTTATCAGATGTCCTAAACAGGAGAGTTATGGCTCTCTAAGGTGTTCCTGCTTGTACGGCAGCTCACGCTCTGCACCTACAGGAAGAGATTAAAAAACATCCCCTTGAAACATGTGCACGGTCGATAACCTAGAGCCGGCTGTAATCGGAGCCAGAATGGGCGCAGGATCCGGAGCAGACTTTATTGCAGGAAAGGGGGAAGGTGCCTGGGACAAGTAAACCTTGTGACAAAAACATCCCATCGTTGGTACTGAATTGTCAGCTAAGGGTTTGGAAGCAGTTGGAAGCCTCTGTCTTGTTGGGATGGCCCCAGGTGTCTGTTCTTCTGTTTTCCTGGAAGCAGCCGCCTTGCTGCCAGGCCTCGCTCGTGGATGAGCCGGGAGCAGCGGCTCCATGGGGCCGGAGGCCGCCGGCCCGCCACGCGCCTCGGTGGAGCCCGGCTGCTCGGGTAGGAGCACGCGGTGCCGCGGCGCGCGGAGCCGGCGGCATCGGCCGCCTCCCTGCCAGGCTGCGCCCAGCCCCGGCGCTCGGGCTGCCATCCTCCTACCCGCTTCCTCGGTTGCAAACATCCCATTAAAGGAAAGCAGCCGCATTGTTTGGGGGGTGATTAGGAACACACACGTCCCTAATCCCCCGGCTCCCGGGCCTTTGTGAGCCGCATTGTTTTCCCTGCGCGCTGCGGTGCCAGAAGCAGGGGCAGGAAGCGCGGGGTTTCCCTTTCCCTTATGGAAACAGCCAGGAGGAGGGGAAGGGCCAGCTGCTGCCGCCTGGTCCTGCTGCAGGCCYGGCCTGGCTGGGCCCGTGCGGCTCCTCAGGGGCCGGGCCGGAGCAGAGAGGGCTGCAGCGATGCGCAGTTCAAGGTGCTCCCTGGCCCGGCTGCGCCCTTGGGCACCGCGCGTGGAAGCCAGAGCCGGCGCCGAGAGCAGCCTCCACCTTTAGGTGGTGTTGGACAGGAAGAAAGGGTCTCTAGATGGGGTGTTCCCAGCAGGTTGGACTGAACCAATTTCTCAAAAAACACTTATAGGCATAGGGGGAAGCATAAACGTAAGCAAATCCCATGGCTGCTTTGTGGACATAGGTAAATGGCCTCCAGATCTCAAGGAATACCTTCAGCTCTTCATTGCACTGAGAGGGCGATCGTCCTCTGCGCTGTTGTCGAAAGTTGCATTCCTAGAGGAGCAGATCATAGTTTAAAATATGGCTGAGAAAAGTTAGTAGAAATATTGAAAGGGTTTTTTGTTTTTGTTTTTCGGGAAGGTGTTAGCAAGATGTGCTCAGTGTTCACATAAGCACTGCTGCTATGTGACTGAGTTCTTCAGGGAGAATAAATGTAGCCATGTAAGAGTGCAGTCGCGTCGTTGACAGTCTGCCTTGTTGATGGGTTTCTGTGCACGGAGGTGGAGAWTAGGGAACTTGGTTTGGGCTTCTTGCAGACCTCTTACATTTGTCCTAAGAAAGCAAATGGAAGCCTGGAGGAGGGAGCGGAGATGGCCCTTGGTGTTCCAGACAGCTGGCTGGAGAGCTGTTTGTGACTGCAGCAAYGCAAAATCTGTTGGCGTGGTTTGGGAGAMGTATTTGTTGCTTAGATGTATCTCATATTTTTGGCTTTGTAAATGSCTAACTGATTGGACATTGAAAAAATGACCAAAATTAATCAAATCATTTTTTATCAAATTATCGAATCATTTGATATAAAGCTTTCAACTCAAAAGGTCAATCCATGTACACACCTTATATTTATGTGTGTGTATATTTTTATATATATATATGTGTGTGTGTGTGTATATACATATATATATGTGTGTGTATATATATGTATATACACACACACACACACAATATATATATATATATATACACACACACACACACACACACACACACACACACACATCTATGTGACTGGTTTGCTGGCCTAGGACTTTGCCGGGCCCCGGAGCGGCTCCCGGGCCCGCGCGGCTCCCGGGCAGCCCTGCACAGTGGGGCAGCCCTGCACGCGCGGGCTGAGCTCTGTGCTTGCAGCCTGCACGGAGCCGGTGTTGCCCGGGAATCGGGGACAAGGCTGTGGCTTCAGTGCCCCAAGCCTGGGTCCTGGAGCTCAGCCTTCCTACGTTCTGCGCGTCGCTGGGAGGACGTGGGCTCTGTCACGTGTGTGCCASGCGGGCCTCGCGAGTCCGGGCTTCTCTGCAGCCCGTGTACTCGCCGGCCTGCGGGTCGTGCAGCCAAGCAGAGCGGCAGCACCCGCGGGCAGGGGCACCGGGGGCGAGGGAGCGCGTGGCGGGAGGACGGAGCCGGGCCTGGGCGCAGACGGCCGGGTCGTGCACGCTGGCGGCCGCGGCAGCCTTATCTGCAGCCGCGCAGCCTCGCGCGGCCCCGCGCGCCGCTATCTGCTTCCTGCAGCGCCGCTGCCGTCGCGCGCCGCCCCKCCGGGCTCGTCCCCGCGGCACGGCC